TTTTTCGAACATGTATGCGGAGATAAGAGTTGGGAAGGTTTGTCAAAATGAGCATATTTAGGTGGGACATGTCGTCCATATCAAAATGGTCCATGACCGTGAAACTGGCAAGCCCAAGGGTTATGGGTTCATCGAGTTTCTTGACGTACAGACTGCTGAACTGGCCATCAGGAATTTAAACGGGTAAGCACCAAGTTCGCCTTCCTGTAATAAAACTATCATTATATGGAACGCTGGAGAATAGAAGCGTTAACCGGTTGACTGGTCATTCAAGAGTTGGTTATAGTTTACAAGGAAAGGGTCTACAAGAATTATTTGTGCCCTGCCCATGTTTCCATCTGTTTTTTGTCTCAAATGCACCTCATTAAGATATGAGGTGAACGGTCGCCAGCTCCGAGTGGACAGTGCTGCAGGAGGAGATCGTAGTGTTGACGAGATACAACAGCTACAAGCAGCTTTGAGCGCAGCTCAGGTGGAGGAAAGCCCTTATGGGCCAGAGCCTGAAGAAGGACGTGCCCCCGAGGTATGCTTTCTGCGAAATATGGCTCCTTCTAATCTTGTAACACAGTTTCTCCCCAGAACTACATGTTTTATGCTAATAAACGGTTGTCACTTATTATTCGCCATTGGGCAAACCATTTGGCGAAGCGATCATTCCGTAAAAACATATGTTTCGACTGCGTTATTTGGTGTCCTCACTAGGGGCGTAATTGCTTTTTGCGAGGTGCCGGCAGTAATTTTGCGCCACGACGTCTTCTCTGAGCGAATTCAGTATCAAATTGCATAAGAGGGTCTCGAGGGCCGAAGGCCTTCATTTTATGCGCCTGCAATTGAAATGGGAGCCATAATTGCAACTGAAACCTCTGGTTCATCTCAAATGCATGGAATTGATGAAAACTAATGATACCAGCGTCATTATCGATGCTGCATTCACACTCTGCGTTGGCGTTTTGAGTGACTAAGAAAGCATAGGTATCGATTCAGCCCACGCCGGCGTGAGGCAACGTTTCAAGCGCCTGGAAGGTATGAATATGGAACTAGCGTTTTGTACCTACGGCGGCGACTGCCCGCGAAAAGCACAAAACTTCCGAAACAACAACGCTCAAAACGCCAGACTAGGGGTCATAATCGTTGGGGATCCCTCAACAGGGGAGTCGTATTGGGTCGCTGGGGGAAGAAGGGTGGCATTAACCTGAAAAAAATTTATTTGATAGTTGATTTTTCTTTTTTCAGGACCCTATAAAATTTGTGGAATCCAGGAAAATTTTGTTGTTTTACATGTGCTATAGCCCATCTCCCTCCCCTGACAGCTCAATCGTATCAGAGCTAGAGCAGGAGTTATTTGTTATTTGTTTAATTGTTTACTAGCACCTACGTGCACATATACACGGTCGTACAGACTCGACAGAAATCCCCAACCAGTGATGGGCCCTGATGCGAGATCAATATCTACACTTTCCTACTCGCTCATCAAAACGCTGCTTGCTCAAGACGCTGGCGCAAAGCATGAACGCGCGCTCATACTCGTCCAGGGCTACTGATTAACTAATTTCTAGAGACAGTACCGACAGGATTTTGAACGCACTTATTTGTCGCCAGCGGCTGGTCCCACGCGCGCGCAACTTTGAATTCAAACGCGCTGTGTGCATGTGCACAACACTCTGAACACCGTAACCTCTCCTGGTTTATTATATACAAATCGGCGCTGCTGTCGTTCCTCTTCTATTATTCACAACTAGCCGCTACTGTCGTTCGTCTCCTGATCTGCAACATACAAC